GGGCTGGGAATCGGCGTAACAGATCCCACTTAAGTAACACTGTCCAACAACCTGACCTCTTCCATCTGTTATTGTTATGTCTAAGTGGGGCGGAGTGTTGACACCTTCGCGGATGACGCCGGCTGAGCCTCTTCCCTCCAACACGGACCCGTACTGAATGGTGGGAATCAGCTGCTTGTGTGGAGCGTAGCAGTCCTCCTGTGATGTCAGCTCTCTGTCCAGGGTGCGAGCTCGCCGTCCGGCTCTCCCTGGGGAGCCGCCGCCGGAGTGGTGCTCGGCTCCGCCCTTCGTCTTAGACAGGCCCCGTGCAGCTACACCGCTACTGCAGTCGGGCAGAGGGAACGTACCAATGCCGCTGTCCAGGGTGTAGGTGGAAGCACCGGAGCCTGTGGAGGAAAAACACGGGGGAGGAAGATTCAGCAAATCTGAATTAATGAACTGCTTGTGTAATTTGAGAATTTAGAAGAAGAAAAAAATAAAAAACGTCACAAAGCAAATGTGTAAATTGGTGGCGTCCTCATTTATTTGATCTTTTACTGCAGCCTCAGAATGAGCTCCCCTCAGGGGTGTGCCCTGTTTGTTCACCTTTGATATGCTAACAAAGGTGTGAGGCAGTTTATTTCCCCTCAGTGTTTCAGTCACGCCCTCATGGAGCATCGCTGATTCTCAGTGACTGAACGTGTGATCATTTACGCAAATAATACCGCAAAAATACTGAAAGTCCACAAGGAAAAGTGTGTAATTATTATCTACAAAACACATGCTTAAATTATAAAAAATAAAAGTACTCAGTGAAAAGTACAGATATTAAATGATTGTGGATAAATACATTATCTACTGTGGTTTAGAGAGACACCTATTTCACAGAGATACTAAAGTTGATCGTAAAATGATACGTCTAATCGCCATATTTCCTCAATGCAATCATCAGCTGCCCTATCCTGTCCTCAGAGAAGGAGAAAGCAACAAACACAGTCCATTTACTGTGAATGTGAAGCCCGGATGACACGAAAAGATAAACAAAATGAATTGACCGTTGAAAGGTGCTAGTTCAAATTCTTTTATTTTGAAAGTCTCTGGACGTCCAGGAGACTACTGTGTTATATCCTTCAGCTGGTGTAGAGGATCCACATTCACCTCTAATGGGACAATATTTATAATATTTAAAATGTATAATATCTAATATTATATAAGCTCTAATACTATTGCATAACATCGAAATGTGTTCAGCAAAGTTTGGTAAAATGTTCCAATCTGAGGAAGGTCTCGTAGGATCACAGTAGCGGTGTTTATTTCCATATTCCATATCATAAAAGCAACATTTTAATATTGCATCCTGTTCGTGTGAAGCTAAGCTAGGCCACTGCACACAAGCAAAGTAAACAGCAACTTTATATTAAAAGTGCAATATTTTCTCTCTAAAATGTATCAGAGTAGATATATGAAAGATTAAGTAGCAGAAATACTCAAAATAGTTTCATTTTTTCATCTGAACGTACACATAGTTTTTATTGTTATCACTTTTCTTTCTTTTTTGCATTTAATTTACCTAATTCCCTTCCTCTCTGTGAATTTCTTATTAACCTCACTTCCCTGTGACTTCCACCGAAGTCTATTTTGATCCTCCACAAAGGCCGCAAACCTTTTTAGACTCCCGGCAGACGTATCTTACCTGCAAAGTGTTGAGAGTGAACAGAATCTGCGAGGTTTTCATCTGATGTGATCTTGCCAATTCTTTCTGATCCCTGCATGAAAGAACAACAGAGATGCAGAAAGAGCCGTGACTGTGCGGAAATCTTCAAATCTCAATGCAGGAGACAAGTCTAACAAATTAGATGCCAGGTTTAGACTTGAAAGTCGGTTCAGTGTAAACAGACTCGACTCGATGAAAGAGAGCTCTGTTTTTAATGTCCTCCCTCAGGTTTCTTTTAAACTCT